TAAATCATGCACAAAGTTGCTTGGAAACCAAAAACAACAAATCACACTGGTAATTCCTTGTTCCTGTCACTGATGACAAAACTGTGACAATTCCACAAAGAAACCAAACCGCTGAGCATGAATCATCATGTTATTCTGCCAAACTTCTGGCTTGCTAACTAGTGCAATATCATGGCAATACTAAAGACATAGAACATTTATAGAATACTGTATAGTGAAACATGAATTTTAAAGCTATATTAAAGGATAAGTGGATGTTTCAGAAATACCTGAGGCACATAAAAGTTACATTTTGTTCTGTGAATCTGTACAAAAATACTTTATCATATATGTGGCAAACAGTGGTTTAAAATAGGCCAGCCTGCCTGTTGTCCTGATTACATAGCAAAGTGGTTACATGTCTCTCAGTTTGGAGGTGAAAGGTGATCTTTACTTTAGACTGGCTCACAATGATGGCTCTGTTGCGATTATAGTATGGGAAGGGAAAAATTGTAATGAGGTGTTAGCTCCCCTTTTAGAGTAGACCCTTAGTGATGTCATGGGAGTAGTTAGTGCCTATATAATTGCCAGTGTAAGAGGGGCCTTTGTAGATGGGGCATGTGAGTCAGATCCCTCAGAACTGCTAAGATGGATCTCACTTGAGAAAGTTTTTTTCTCTGAAACATTGTAATTCACACCTCCACCTTATCCTGAGTGTCTGCTTGCCAGCTGAAGGTTTTTTTTTGGTATCTGTCCATGTGTATTGATGTTTGTTAATTGCTGTACTGTTGGCCTGGATATTTTCTCTTTTGTAAAGAAAATGTTTATGTTGCTTGCAGCTGAGACTTTGGCTTTGTCTAGATCAGTGGTCTCCAAACTGCGGCCAGATGTAGCCCTTTGCTTGCCTTTAACTGGCCCTTGGGGCACTATTTCATCCACTGATGCCAACAATGGGGCATAATTCATCAATGATGGGGCACAATTCCTCCCAAAGACATCAACAATGTAGCATGATTCCTTCCAATGACATCAATGAAGGGACACAATTCCTTCCAATGACATCAATGATGGGGCACAATTTATCCCAATGACAACAACAATGGGGTCCAATGACACCAACGATGGGGCAAAATTCATCCCCACTAAATAAAAAGTTGGGGCATTGTTGTTTCCCACTTACGTTTGGACCTTTTCTACTCCTAATTATTATTATTATTATTATACGGTATTTATATAGCGCTAAAAGGTTTGCTCAGCGCTGTACATTATAGTGGGGGACAGTACATGAGAGAATACAGTAACAAAACAGAACACGAGGGATTCAAGGGCCCTGCTTTTTCGAGCTTACAATCTAGGAGGGAGGGGATAGTGGTACAGGAGGAAGTGGCTGTGGGGGATGGAGTGGATGGGGTTAGGAGAGGAGGAGATCGGCTGTTAGGTGAGGGCGGGTAGGCTTCCCTGAAGAGATGGGTTTTCAGGGTGCGCCTAAAGGTGAGGAGGGTAGATGACAGTCTTATGGATTGGGGTAGTGAGTTCCAGAGGATGGGGGAAGTCCTGGAGAAGTCCTGCAGTCGGGCGTGGGAGGTGGAGACCAGGGAGCTAGAAAGTAGGAGATCTTGTGAGGAGCGAAGATTACGGTAGGGGTGGTATTTGGGTATCAGGTCAGTGAGGTAGTTTGGGGCAGCATTATGAATGGCTTTGTACGTCAATGTTAGTAATTTGAATTTAATGCGTTGGGCAATTGGGAGCCAGTGGAGGGAATGACAGAGGGGGGTGGCAGAAGCGGAGCAGTTGGTGAGGTGGATGAGTCTGGCTACTGAGTTCAGGATAGACTGAAGAGGGGAAAATCAGGAGCTCGGTTTTGGAAAGGTTCAGTTTGAGGAAATGGAGCGACATCCAGTCTGATATGTTGTTCAGTAGGTGGGTGATACGGGCGGAGACTGAAGGGGTGAGTTGAGGGGTGGAGAGGTAAATTTGCATGTCATCGACATAGAGGTGATAGTTAAAGCCGTGGGAGTATATCAGTTTGCCGAGGGAGGAGGTGTAGATGGAGAAGAGAAGGATCCCGAGCACAGGGCCACAGTTTACTGGCCCTTTGTTTAGAAAGTTTGGAGACCCCTGGTATAGATGGAAGACTTATGGGGAGATCCTGTGCATGTAAGTTGATTTATTGTTACGGCTTTCCTTTCATAAATATATGAATTTCAAAAACTTAGCTGTTTTGAGTGCTGCCTAATATTTATTTATCTTTGCTAGTGAGCACCTGTCTCCAGTTCCCAGCACTTTCCCAAGGCAAGCACAGGCAAGAGAAATGCAAAGGGAGCGGAGGTTGACACACTTCGCCTTCCTCTGCATTCCTCCTGCAGGTGATTACCTTAGTGAAGTGATGGGAGCCAAAGAGAGGTGCTCACTAGTAAAGTAGTGATCTCCTTGCTAACTGCAATGTCAAGCTGCTGTGCACCAAGGGGTGGCACCCCCTCTGCTATAACAGCTAGCGTTGCAGGGTACCTAGGAAAATGGGGCAAAGTGCTACATGTACTTTGTCTCATCGGAAGCTAAATACTGTAAGAAAAGTTCTTATTTAAAGCTGACTCTTGATTGATAAAAGAAAACACAATATGAGGTTGTGTATACATTAAAAAATTTTTTTTTTTTAATGCAACTTGTGTAAGCTCCTGAACCTGACTTGATATGAGCATCCTATAATCCTCTGTAAAGCAGTAATAAGACTGCCAGATGAAGAGCAGCTCAAGGAGGTATGCTGCAATGTACAAGATACATGCTAACATGAGATGAGAGCAGAGAGATTAACAGCCTGTGTTGGCTGGCTTTTGTTTGCTTCAAACGGGTTTTGCATTCTCATACAAGACTATGGGAATGCAAACCTTGCTTGAAGCAAGTCAGCTGCAGATCAAATTGATGAGCTCAGAAGCATTTAAAACTGTGGTTTTAGATGTCCAAACTGTATTACCTAAAGTATAACTAAAAGCAATCCTTATTTTTAAGCTTTGGATAGAGTAGAGATGGAATAGAACACCTATCAGGTTTTTATTGTTGTCTGTGCCCCCATTAGGAAGATTCACCTCTCTATTTGTCCTGTTTACCATTATCACCAAAATTGAAATTGAAAGAAAATCCTACATTTTGAGTTGTCACCAAAACCAGAGGAGAACTCTCCCAATGGGTACAATGGTTATGGTGACCTTGGGACACAGATACAAAAAAAAACTGCCAGGGGTTATAACCCTCCCTTACGCTATCCAAAATAAAAAAAAAAAACTAAGTTTTGTGTAAACCCCAGAACTACACAGGCAGAAATACAATGCCTTTGATACATAAAACAGCTCCCACATATGCATTTAACCTGTGTATTCAGTTGATTGCCAGGAGTAGGGATGAACTAGGGGTTGCTCCGAACTTGGGTTTGGACCAAACCCAGAAGGAAGCTTTCACTCCTGTCCACTTCTGCCCAATCAGGTGTGGCACATGGCCATATTAAGTCAATGGTGTCATGAGCATCCCTGCTCCTTTATGACTGCGGGATGGGGAGCGCCTTGGCCACAGTTGATTGGGCAGAAGTTGGTGAGAGTGATGGCTTTCTTCAGTCCAACCAAACCCAAACTCATCCATAGTCAGAAGTTTTAGTATGACTAGATTTCTAACAGAATATATATATTTTCTACTTTTTTATGAATATTACACAAACCTGCGATATTGTGACTTGACTAAGTGATGTCTAAAAATGGTCAAATGATTAAAGAGCATATAATCTCTTCTGACACATTTTCCAAAAGTGATACCACATAATTATTTTTTTTCAGTCTGAATAGCTAATATACATCAAGTACAGATAATATGTAATATTGAAATATAATCTCTATTGTGTATGTTCTACAAACAATAAAGGTGGCCTACACTTTAGATCAATGATTTGACTTGGATGGGGTCAGACAATCTGTCTATTGTAGGTTTTTACACATATGTGTGTGGCCACATCTGAAAGATCCAGACAACAGTCTCCTGAACCAACTTTCTTATCATACACCTGGCAATAGATATACTGTAGTTTTATGATTACCGAACACACATAAGCTAATCATAATACACATGGATTTTCTACATGCAAAAAACACAAGAGAGGGCACACCAGCTTTGTGCATTAACCAAGATACCATTTATTTCCAATGACGCTGATGTGTTTCAAGGGTGGCCCCTATTTTTCAGTGCTTTAAAGACCCTGAAAAGAGTGCACCCCCAAAATGCGCCAGCATCTGTAGGACTTTGTGACATCTTCCTGGTCGGTTTGGAGATGTGCACATGGGTTCTGGTTGTGTCTACTGGAGATTTATGATTTGCTTTTTCTTATCAACTGTGTGTGACCTATTTTTACTTTGGAAGTAAATGGTGTCTTTGTTAATGCATAAGGTTGGTGCACCCTCTCTTGTGTTTTTTTGCATGTAGTGCTTTTGGATACCCCAGACTGAGGAGGGTAGCAAGGTCTAGAGGATACCAGATAACTGAAACCATGTTGATGTACTTGAAATGACAGAAATGGAGAGAGCAGGGGCGCACTGACAATTCGAGCACTTGGGTACTGCCCGAGGGCCCGGGGTCAGTAGGGGGCCCCGTGAAATGCCCCTGGTACCTTTTTTGGCTTTTTTGGCTTTTTTGAGTGTGGGCAAGGACACAGGGGCCCATGATCCCCTATTGTCCGGGGGTCCCATGAGTTGTCAGTCCGCCCCTGGGGAGAGAGTCTTCTTGTGGCATTGGTACCACACTTGAATGCTCTGGATTTACTATACTTTTTTGTTACATTGATTTTCTAGCCTAACTATTTGATATAAAAGTTCAGACAGGTCAGCAATTTATGCCATTTTAGACCTACCCTGGGTCATATTTAGCCTATGTATGGCCTATGTATGGCGTCATTAGATAATTTCACTGTTTATGGTAACCCATGAAACTTTAAATAATTATGTTGTTTTCTAGGAGCTCAACAACTCTTTTGTCTTATGTTCCAGCTGTCTCCTCTATCTGAACGTTTCTCTGATGAACAATTGGTTGGAATGTCAGTGCGAGAGTTAAATCGCCAGCTCCGTGGTTTCAGTAAAGAAGAGGCTTTGCGACTAAAACAACGCAGACGCACTTTGAAAAACAGAGGGTATGCCCAGTCCTGTCGGTATAAGCGGGTACAGCAACGCCATGTCCTGGAGACCGAGAAGTGTCAGCTGTCACGCCAGCTACAGCAACTTCAACAGGAAGTGGTTCGGGTGACCCGAGAGAGAGACGGCTGGAGAGCACGATATGAGAAACTGCTGAATGCTACAGGAGGGGGCACTGGGGCGGATGTGCTGGGTACAGGGGGAGACACGGGGTCTGGAGCTGAGCTCTTCCTGTGATTCTCCAATGAAAAGACTGAAACCCAACTCTGAAGGTGTTACTCTCTTTCAGGAGACTGACCTGCCCCTGAATATCAGATCTTTATTATGCAAAGCCCCTAATGTGCAACATGGAGGCCCTGAAAAGATTCACTGCCCCTCCATTATTTTTCAGAACAAAATAAACACGTCATTTTTCGGCTTGAACATGATATACATGTACCTTTCAATAGATTATTATTCCCCCATTATTTCATTAAATCAACATCCTAACAACATTTCCTATCCCATGCTCTATGTGTTCTCTGTACCAGAGCAAGAAATTATGAAGACCTTGACTTTTACTGACCATTTTATTTAATCTCTAAAGAACATTCCTCTTCAAAATCCAAGTCTATCTTTATATCTAAGGGCTGTATATGGTTTTTATTGCCTTCCTTGATCCTTACTGCATGTAAAAGTTTTTGAAGCATCTGTTGTACCTAAACAAAAAAAAATTTTAATTTTTTTTTCAGCATGTTGGAAAGCTGGAAAAGCTTAGAAATGTAAAAAACATTTGCCCTGCTGATGATCGATGGAAAGTGTTTCCTAGATGCAACTCCTTTGTCTGAATACATGTATGATCTACAGTTCAGCTCTCTATAAGGCAACAAGCAAAACAGGAACATGGCCCATTGGCACAGTGGATTCTTCAAATTCTTTATAGACATAAGGGGCAAAGAATGTAATACCTACTATTTACAAAGTTGATTTCACTGCCATGCAAGCCAGATTGCCAAATCATACCTTTAATTGCTGGCAGATCTAAGCTCAAGAGTTTTCTTTCTTTTTTTTCCCTTTATTTTCACCTGGTGATCCATCCAGTAAGTTTGTTATTTTACAACTTCCTTTAACAGACCAAGCTGTCCACCAAAGGTAGTTGGAGGGTTGAGACAAATGACTTACCACTGATTGGGAAAGGTCTACATGTATGCACCTATGTTAAGCTCTTATCCTAAAAGGGAAAAAAACAGTTGATGTAATTGCTTATAAAGTGTTAGCTGGAGTTCAGCTTTAATTTGCTAGTCGAGTCCATCTAAATATTCTAGGGCATCTAACACTATCCTCTCCCCAGACTGAAAATGCAGCTTCCCAAAGTTGTCTCTGTTCCTCCTTCATCCAGAGTGGAGACCCCCCGAAGACAGGAAGTGTGTTACTGGCCAGATCACCAAGTGAAAATAAAGGATAAAAAGCCTAAAAAAAGAAAACGAATGCAGCTACCACATTTAAGGACTGCTAAGCTGCAATCTATTCAATCTTTGTTTTTTGGGTTAATACTGCTGTTATGTCTTAACATTTACCTAGTTACAAATCATATTTAAGTCTTCTGTCCAAGCAATCAAAGGGATGACTTGGCAATACTGTCTGAAATATGGACATTTTTAGGAATGTAGATTATGCTTTACGTAACACATCTACCTACTTGTACCCACATTGACAAATAAACCATATTTAGTTATCTAGGACTGGCTGAGCCTGTCCAATTCAGGGGTGCTCTTCTTTCCTCTTTCTAAATCCTCTGCACCCATCTAACAAAGCTGAACAGATATTCTGGTCTTTTTTGAGGGAAACTTTAAATTATTGCATTTTTATGTGTGTGATTGTGAGTTTTAAATAAAATGCAACACTTTACAGGCTGCACTCCCTGCACATAAGGGGCAAAGTTAGCGTGGTACTAGGCAGACTTGGCTGTGTGTTGTGAAAAGTTTTAAGAATTGTTTTTTTCTTCTTCCTCAATATTGTTATTATTTTGTATTCGGAAAAAAATCTATAACAGAAAAAAAATTATCTATTTAAAGATAGAAAAATAAACTATGCAGAGTTTTTAACAGCAGAATCCCTTGCAATTCATTAATTGATGTTATATACCTGTCTGCACTTACAGTTGTTGAGGATGTCAACAGGGTCAGTTCAGTAAAATATCTAGTATTTTTATGTTTCTAATTCACTAATGGTTTTTTATCACACCGATTGGCTGAATTTACAGCATGTTTTCTAACACATTCGGCCTTATTATGTATGTGAATTCATAAAAATGATCACACAGGGTATTCAGTGTATCTTATAATAGCTTTTGACTGGTGTTAACTGTGAGGTTCTATGAGGTGTCTACTGAGGAGAGCAGAAAATGGGGTAATTTGAGATGTCCATAAAGCTACATTTCTAGAGTTGAATATTTACACAAAATAATTAGGTGAGATAAAATAAAGAAAAACTTTTTAAATATACATCTTCATGAAATTACCCTATATTATGATTGGTCAAGTGACATGACAACGCTATTATTCATATACACCGTTCAGCCATAACATTTTGACCACCCACCATAACCCTGTAGCGCTACCCTCGCAAGCGTCGCTAGTATGTTGTCCCGTTTTCCCCGTGCTTCGCCCCGCAGCAAAGCACACACACTTTGACGCATTGTCTTCAATGACCAGTCTAGGGGATGTTTATTTTTGGAGTTTTTATTGTAGAACTGGGGATAGGGATGGGGAATTGTAGTAGGATACTCCAAAGCTCTCTTAGCTTCCTGAAGGTGGGCAGAACTCAGACAAACTCAAACAAGATCAGATGTACCCCTCTTCATTTTGCAAGGATAGAAGGGGAAGGGGAATTTGGGAACAGAGGGTTTGCCCTCTAGCAACAACTATAACAGAAAAAACTTCTGTCAGGTGCCTCTTAACACAATCATTTCAAGAACCTTAACTACAAGTTCTGTCAATAACAAATTACATCTTCAGCAGTAGACGTCAGTAGAACTCAAACAAGATCAGAACAGCAAGAGCAGACCTAACTCATCAATCCCAGCACTCTGTTAAGCAGAATACCACACTGAAATTACCTGACAGCCTCTCTGTAAGCAGAGAAACACAGCTATGCTACACCTAACTATACAAATCCTAGCACCTGACTAGGAGGGTGCTACACTCACCCCCTGACAAAAATAGGCCGTGTCCTCATTGGCCTGGGCAGCCAAGTCCTTTTTTCTTTCAAGGTTGTGGCCCAGGCTCTGCTAACCAAAGTCCTTGGCCCTCGCACACAGGATTTGGAGCTGAGGTCTCCCTGCATGCAACAGACCTTTTCTTGCAGTACCTGGAGTAAATCGCTCACACAGCGGCCGTAAGGACTCAGTAAGGGATTCTTCCCTCACTGGGCACAATAGCTTCACAGCAAAGATCTTCCCAAAGTGTCCTTTCAAAAGAAGGAGTAGGAGTCCCTGTTGATGAGCCATCTCCTGCCCCTAAGGAAGCAGCTCAAAAGACATCTACTAAAGAGGAACAAAGGCTGACACCTGCACTGGGCAACAGTTCACTTTGCTAGCTAAAGAACCAAGACTTCACAAAGGTTTTCTTTCCTTTGGGTACAATTTCTTCTTGCGGCAAGCCATTGCCTGATCCTATGGCAATGACTCAACCAAACTCACTTTAGCATGGCATGTCCAGGCATGAGACAAGGTACCCTTCCATCTAGTCACAGAGAGGTATTGGAATGGATTTAGAACTAGAGAGTTATCCCATAAAGATGCAGATCCTTTAACACTTGAGCTTGAAATTAAACAATTGGAGAGCTTTCAAAAGAAGTATTTTCTCCTGCACTTGAATAAAACAGAAGTGAGCAGCTGTCCTTTTGCCACAAAAGCAGCCCACATAGACTTGACTGGAGCAAAAAACAAAGAGTACTCTGAGCATTAGGGGCTCACCCCTCCAGGTTGCAGTCCTGGATGTTGGATAGGAGAAGTCCCCATACTGGAAGTCCCTTTCTCATGAGAATGGCAACAATCCTCAGATGTACCCCCTCTTCATTTTGCAAGGCTAGAAGGGGAAGGGGAATTTGGGAACAGAGGGTTTGCCCTCTAGCAACAACTATAATAGAAAAACTTCTGTCAGGTGCCTCTTAACACAATAATTGCAAGAACTTTAACTACAAGTCCTGTCAAGAACAAATGACATCTTCAGCAGAAGAAGTCAGGGTGTGGAATATGGACCATCTTTCCATCAGGGCCCCAGACATAAATGGCTCATACTTGATCCCGCCATCCGGCTTTCTTTATCAGCACCTGTCTATGAAGATGGATCTTCCCAGGCTCCAAAAATTCCTCCCACAATAGAGGTTTCGACCTGTTGCGGAAGGGGTTTAGGTATGTACATTTAAGTCACCTACAGCTGCCTCACACCAGGAATTTCTCTTCACCTCTACCTCCTCCCTAACCTTCCTCGGTGTATAGGGTAGTCAATACCCATATTCGTGAGCTACTTTCTGCTGTACAATACGCTGGGAGCTGGTGAATCTTGGTAACTTCTGCCTGTCACCTCTCCCTTGCAAGGCATATGGGGTGTTGCCTTTTGAGATGAGGATACTGTAAGCCTCGTTTTCTGCTTGGGCATAACTTTTAGGAAGGAAAGATCAGGCCCTCCGGAGGGCGAGCCTAGAGCTGACCGTGAAAAAACAAAGAGGAGACTCCATCGCTGCATTCGGGTATCACAGCCACGGACCTCCAGATAAGTTGCAATAGATGATCGATCTCTCTCTCTCTCCTCTTTCTCTCCTCTTTCTCTCCCCCCCTTCTCTCCTCCCTCTATTTCTTCCCCTCCCCTCTTCCTCCCCCTCTCTCTTCTTCCCCCCTCTCTCTTCCCTCCCTTTTCCCCTCTCTGTCTCTTCCCTCCCCTCTCTCTTCCCTCTCTCTTTCTCTTTCTCTCTCTTCCCCCTCTCTCTCTCCCCCCTCTCTTTCCTCCTGTCTTCTCTCTCTCCCCTCTCTCCCCTCATTCAACCCTCCTCCCCCACCCCACCCCTCCCCTCATTCCCCCTCTTCCTCCTCTCTCCTCCCCCCCCCCCTCTCTCCCCTCTCTACCCCTCATCTCTCTCACTCCCCCTCTCCTCTCACCCCCCTCCTCTCTCTCTCTCCACCCCCCTCTCCTCCCCCCTGATTCTCTCTCCCCCCCCTCCCTTCTCTTCCTCTCTCTCCCCTCCCTTCTCTCCTGCTC